TATTGGTTAGGCTTCAGCGGGGAATGCAAAGCTCGAGGAAGTTCATTCGTCAAGGCGCGAACTTACTGACCCGAAGGTTGCGCTTTGAACTCAACCACTGCATCTTGACTGCTCCGGTCAGTGTTCGGGTAACCTGCCCTTATCCGAGCCCTCATGCTTCCTTCGGGTGCAGACGCCGAAAGAGTGTTACAACTGGACGATTGGTTGATTGATCTTGATTGGCTGGGGGGGGGGGGCAACATAGGAACGTAGGTCCCAGCTTTTGATCGGCATCTGCGCGTCTTGTCAAGACTGACCAAACTTTTTCTATGTTCCGAGTTGGGGGAAATCTCGGTAGGTTCCCAAGCTTATTCACCGCACGGATGCTTGTTCACTTTCTGCCAGGTCGTGATCAGCATCATCACGTTGCGATGTCGTGGCCTGGCTTTCGCGAGCCTTCCGCCAGCAGTCACTCTGAATCGCTCGGTAGACGGTGGTTGGACATACGTAACACATGCCCCTTGGACCGTAAACCAGAAACTGCAAAATGCCAGTAAGAGATTCAGTGTAGAGGCTGTGATGTAGTGTAAGCTAATCCTGCACTCACGCGCATCACGTCATTGGTCAGAATCACAGCTCACTTCTGATTGTTTCCCAGCATTGATCTGCAAGGCGAATCAGCTGATGAACGAACAATGAACGCCCCATCCGATTATTGTGGGGAAGGCCTTCTCTCATGAAGCATGTTGCTTCACACACCATCGAATTCTACTTAATTGTTGTCCGAATAAGATACGCTTTGATCAAATTTGGCTTCTTTAAAAGTGATTTACTCACTTAGCTCGTTTCGTCGCCTTAAGTGGGTCCCAACGAGGACAACAACGTTTGGATGAGGACATTTTGTGCCATCACACTGAACCGCGGTTACTTTCCTCAGTTGTGTGTGATTTTTATGCTGTTGCCCCAAAGGCAAAGTAAGATTGACTCTGCGTCTTGATCACGTTGAGCCTGGTCGAACTTGCAGTCCCACTTCCACAGTCACCCAAATGGTTTTTTCCTTTGAAGGGACATCGTCTGAAATTAGTTCACTGACGGACTATTGCATTCTGTCTGTAAATGCGCTTGGTTTTAGGCAGTTTGATCCTCATGTCTCACTGGTCAGTGGTGGCCTCTAGAGTGACCTTGCAACAACCACAATCACTGAATCCCACTTCTAGATCTGCTCCCGGATGAGGTCTCTTGAGTCTGCTGCCACTTATTACTGTTGTTCTTCACTATATCATTCTTATTGTTGTCAGTACTGTTATTATTTGTTATTTAATCTACTTGATGTTCACCACACGAATTCAGGTTTGCGAAACTAGACTGACGATAAATAGACTTCTCGAATAACGTACTACTGGTTGAAGTAGCACACGAAACTTTCTCTTTGCGTGTTGTGAACCAGTTCATTGATACAAGCGTTGCTCAGTGGTTAAGACGGAAACTAAGTGACTTGGAGTGTGTGGTTCGAACCCAACTCGGCATCTCGACTGCTTCTGTCTAGGCTTGAGCAACCTGTCAGTATCCCAGCCCTCGCGCTCCCCTTGGCTAGCATGGCAGCTAGGCATCGAAAGGATTCAGTGAACCATGCACTGCCATCCGACTGTTCAAACTGGCATTATTGTTTATTAGGGGGCGAGATGACTCAAATGGCTAGAGCGCGAATTTACTGACCGGAAGGTCTGTGGTTCAAACCCGACCTCTGCCTTTCGACTTCCCCTGTCTAGGCTTGGGCAACCTGGCAGTATCCCTCATGCTTCCTTCCGGTAGCATGGCAGCTAGGCACCGGAAAGGTGTTATAGCTGAACGATTTTTTCATGGTTTATTGACGACACTCTACTCTACTCTACTCTTCAAGCCCGTTTAGTAGACGAAACCAGCCGACGCACCATGCACATTCACTACTTGATTTTCGTCAGAATCTCCTCCACATTTTGTTGCATTTCAGTCGAAGCGGGGCTTAGAAAGAATCCAACTTTACGCGTTGCTTGTCTACATGTGTTCGGCCTTCGCCCACCTGCTTACGCAGTGCTTCAGCCCACACAATCCGAGCAACTCACTTCTTTCGGATAAGGTGAGTAAACTTAACCGCATTCCGTGAGGACAAATGTAGCGGTCGTTCATTGTCTGTGTGATGTCTCTACATCCGCTTGGGCACACCCCCGGTTCCATCATTCCCCATCTGTTTTTGTGTTTTTTCTCGCTAGGCTGCTCTCGTTTAACTCAGATTTCACCTTAAGTTTACTGACGACACTCTACTCTACTCTACTCTTCAAGCCCGTTTAGTAGACGAAACCAGCCGACGCACCATGCACATTCACTACTTGATTTTCGTCAGAATCTCCTCCACATTTTGTTGCATTTCAGTCGAAGCGGGGCTTAGAAAGAATCCAACTTTACGCGTTGCTTGTCTACATGTGTTCGGCCTTCGCCCACCTGCTTACGCAGTGCTTCAGCCCACACAATCCGAGCAACTCACTTCTTTCGGATAAGGTGAGTAAACTTAACCGCATTCCGTGAGGACAAATGTGACGGTCGTTCATTGTCTGTGTGATGTCTCTACATCCGCTTGGGCACACCCCCGGTTCCATCATTCCCCATCTGTTTTTGTGTTTTTTCTCGCTAGGCTGCTCTCGTTTAACTCAGATTTCACCTTAAAAGTAACGTGGTGCTGGAAATTTTATTTTCCAGTGTCCCAAACCTCGCTGTTCTCTATCGTACGGATAGAAATTCTTTTTAGATACTTGTGCATCTCACAAAGGTATTTGGTGGCAAATATGGGCAAAGTAAGGTAAAAATGGATGCGAACAGCACACAGATGAATTCTATTGACATACTCTCGACCCGTTCCTATAGCAGAAAGTATTCATAGTGGTGGGGTTCGAGAGCAGTGCTTATTCATTGTGCCGAGAATGCGGACCCAATACTTGGGGGGTCCATCGAATCCCGAACTAAAGTTTCCCGCGTCAATCAGCTGTGATTCTCACTTTCACTCTGTTGGATAGTTCGGCTCCTCGGAACGAAGCGCTGGTAGTCGGAACCAGTAGTACCATTGGGGAATGGAAATCAAACGTCTGCACCCTATCGGTTCCCTTGTCTGTTACGTTACCGGTCCCACGTGACACCCTAGTCGACTGCACGTTGTCTGGTTGTGATAGCAACCGAATATTTTGATTAGCGGACAGTTTCATCATGTTATTGTGATTTTAGGCATAGCGATAGTTTGACAGGCCCCAATTTCAATGACCTTGATCAAAGCATCACCATCGACAACGTATCTCTCTGCTTGTAGTTCAAAAAAACGGGTGAAATAAGGCAGTGTAAGTGGCACCAAAGAGAGAACAAGGAAACCAATGGTCAGGGATGAAGGATAATGTAGCAGAGCGTAACCAGTCTCGCTTGGGGTCTTTTCTTTCGACGTGGGCTTGTACGGATGTTGTTTTACTCCGAGGTCAACTGCTGCTGACAACATGAAGCAATCAGTTCATTGATCTATCGGTCACATGACCAAACCGTTGTGTGATACTATTGGTTTGCGTTGCTTGGTTAGGAACCTAGCCGTGGACAGAGTTTAGCCTAAGGTTATAGACGGCCTTATCTATTCAACAAAAGAATGGACAACTAAACGGCTTCGACGAGAGGCTCAACTGAATTCGGCTGAATGTTTCGTTTATGATGGTCTCCTGCACAAAGCCGTTCCTGGTCGATATACGGTATTCGAAGTTTTCAGTAACCTCATGGGTAGCGTGTTACATCTAAACTGTGGAATGTTGTCATCGGAAATTTTCTAAATATTGACTCCGTACATTCTGCTTACATCTTCATAGTTCGCACCTTTCGTTCACCTTTTTGGTTTGTGGCACGCTTCTAGTTGAGGTACAGTTGCTTCTTCCAGGAGAGAACCCGGTGAGGGCCAGGTGTATTTGACCAAACAATGTTGAACTGATGGCTTGGGGTTCGGAAAGCCCAATTGATGGTGTTCAGCGCTGGCACCTTGTCAACAGTGTCATTGGTGTCGCGCAGCTCAAACCCTATATCCCGGCATCGAAATAGCTCTAATCACCATCATCGACAGCATATCATCATTGTTCAACACCGATGCTTTACTGCCGTACAACCATGATTTATTTGAAAGCTTTATTGTAAAGAAAAGAGTAAAGGTGTACGGGGGAGGGACGTAGCACTACCTTATCACAATCATTCCGAAGTGTCTATACCTCCAGACATTCACTTAGGCTATCTGGATATAAACTGACAACAAGAACGTCACTGACATCGGTTGGCAGCCATATCTTGTAGTGTCTCCAACCGGGCACATTGAGGATCACGTGGTCCCCATCCTGCAAGGCGAGTAGCACCGACGTCCCTTGAGATTCAGGGATAAACCATCCTGACGCCATAGGTGTCTCAAATTAGCAAATGCGGCCCGAGCCTTGGAGATTCGTGCATTCGCCTCATCTGTCACACTACAACCAGAACTAATACAACATCCAAGATACGTAAAACGCTCCAGTACCTCTCCCTGGATTGTAAGTGGCGTTTTCAGTGACTGCATGTCCACGAGCATGACCTCACACTTTGTGGGTGCAAAGTGCCTATCAAAGGACGGGGATGACTTTGGTCAATTCATCCAAAAACACCTGCGCCTTCTTCTCCTCTTCAAAGATGAGAACGATGTCGTCCGCACATTCCAGATCGACAAGGTTTTCTTCACAGGCTATTTGAACACCAGGGTTTTGGAGACTTTCCATCTCTAAAGCTTTAGATTTTTCGCTGTTCAACGACCGAAAATATGATTACTTCAAAATAATCGCTTTGTTGTATCGTGCGGTGGCCGAGCTATTTGGTTACGCCTGTGCTGAGTCTGCCAGACTACGCAATAGGGAGAAGACAGAGAACTTGGGATACGACTGTATTATAAGGACAAAACATACAGAGCGTCTGCGTGATATATAGGATGACTAAATGGCCAAATATATTCGTTCACATGCTCGCTCCGTACAGCCAATGGCGGTGTTCCGGTCGTAAACACTCAGGCCCTCTAAGCTGGTCGTATGTTGCTAAGCCGTGTTTGGTGGGAGCCGCCAACTCACCTACTTTCCGGACGTGTCGTACCGAAGGTGACCTTGGGGATGCGTCACTCTCTGCACTTGTGCTTTTTTTTGCTGTCTGGGCGCGTCCTGACACGCTTTTATCCCAAAATCGCGTTAGGTAGTTTCTGGTTCCTATGTGTCACAACTAGGGGCAACCAGTACTGATTGGCTGGTTTGTTTATTGAAGTAAGTCAGTTCCCAATGAATCCAGTGCTTCACCCACCTTGGTGTGGACTCACTAGAATAATTACACGGGGATAGGAGAAGGACTGTCCAAACGAGAGTGATGTGACTGTGGATTCTACAAATCCCACAATCACCTACAACTAGCTGGATAAGCTTTTATTAATGCTCATATTCTGGCTTTTACATGAGTCGTTTATGTACAGTCCAAATTCAGGACAACAACGCATCCACTAATCTCCCGTTTGTTGCGCACGTTGCTTCGGTGAAACCTGGGCGGACAGAGATGTTTCCATGCATATCTCCGATTCCTACAGACTGTTCTTTCTTAGTTGTCACTAGATAGAACTGTCTATGTTTCGCCCAGTCGATATGCGCCCTAAGTGTTGGGCCTTCTCATGTGGCTCATTAACGGTTTGCTGTGATTTTGATGTCGCGAAAATGGTGTTCTCCTTGCTTTCCCAGCACTTGTTACATTTTGGTCTGTGGTTGTCATTCTGAAGAAGTGATCCAATAGTTGTTGATTCCTGCCTTATTCTGAGGTTCTCGTACGCAGCTTTATACCTCACGGTGGGCCGTCAGACCAACCCGAATTCATGCTCTGTCGGCACTCCCTAATTCAGCATCAGTATTGCTATAGCTTGTGAATAATATTCAAGAACGGCTTGGTCCAAGCCTCTTCATCATTTAATCTCCAAGGGTCAAAAGAAGTCTATCAATTCGGAGGGAGATGACCAAGACTCCCCCCACTGGCTCCGAGGCAGAAGAGTGTTTTGGCAGCCATAAAAATTTCTCATGTGAGATAGACCCTAGTCCAGCCCGTCGTTCTCGAAATGCTGTGGAATCCGTTTGAGTGCACTGATTGATATTCAATAGCGATGAGTGATTCTAACTCCTCTCTCATCCGTACGCCGACCATTTTTCAGAACGCCTGTCCGGAACTGTGGGTATCTGTGCCTTCCCTGTGGTGCTTCACCTGGTTGTCAGGGTAAGCTTTTGGTTGTTTTTCTGTTTACATGCCACGGTTTTTCATTTCCCGAAGGTACTTCTTGTGTCCTTTGATTGCATTTTGAGTTTTTCGATGTTTCTCTTCGAAGCATTCATGGTAGTTAGGCGAACAGATCGGTCGTTCGCATCAATCACCTCAGTAGTATCTCAGCCTCCATGTTTTCTTCTTGTTAATGGCACTCATGTATCGAAATCAATGAGCGATTACGTGTTTTCGTTTGTTCCGGTGACTCTTCTCAGTAGGCTGTGGAACCTTCACGGTCAATTACCGAATTTAAAGAACTGACACAGAAAAGGCCTTCAGGTTTTATTTGAAAATATCGATGCGAAATACTAGGGGTTTGTGGTTGATGCAGTATAGTAATTTCTTGGCGATTTATTGATCGATATCCTCTGTTTAAGAACATCCCACATGGCAATAACCCTGTAGTTTCGGACTGACGATTCTAACAGAGCAGTCCTTGTGTTCATCACTGACGAATGGTTTGTTCACCACATTTGGCTTTTCTGAATCACTTTCATCAATTCTGTCGGCTGTCTTCATTTCAGTTCCGACCTGAGTGATTTTTGTGAAGCATTTTCGCATTTCGTACAAACTGCATTGAACCTTTCCGTGAGCCCTCGAAAAACTCTCCAGCAAATGAACGCTCCTCACTTGACTTCAGCTCACTGCTGAATCTTTTCAGCTGTTAAGATTGCAATATGAACACACAAAAAATCGACCGCTCAGCCCAAATAGCAGCCATGCAAGCCTAGTGGAAGCGACCGATGAGGTCAGTGGTGCTCGTGTATCAAACCTACTCCCCCTGCTCCCGTCTAGGCTTGGGCAACCCGGCAGTACCTCGGCCCTCGTGCTTCCTTCAGGTGGCATGTCAGCTAGGCACCGAAGAGATGTTACGGCTGGACGGCTTTCCGTTCCTCCAGAGCAATAATAATATACAACGCGAACAAACTGACCAGAACATAGCCTCCAACGCTTGGCTATAGTCCCCCGTTATTTCATTTCCAGGTGACCGAAACTGTAGCAGCTGGAACCAATGTATATGGTACAATGGTTTATAGCTGACTAATTGATTGATCGATTGTCTACCCAAGTCGAGGTGTTTTACTGGGCTATCGGAATGTGTGGTTTTCGGGGCCGGTCTCTTCTAACCCGTCCTTCCTCAAAGAAAATACTCATCACTGTTTTCATAAATGTGGATATGCTGATCACCTGGAGGAAATAATTTACCGTATTTCTATCGTGGAGGACAGTACGACTGTATCCTCGAATCACCTAGTAATCGTGTCAGCACGGAGCTTCATGGCTCTGTGTCTGGCTTCTCTTCTTAACATGGTAGCTGTTCAAGTATAAGCCCCTTTCGGCGCCTAGCTGCCTTGCTGTCAGAAGGAGGGACATAGAGCCTAAGCCTGGACGGGAGCGGTCGACATATCAGAGTCGGGTTCGGCTTGAGGCATCTCAAGCTCAGCATGAAATTGAGAAACGAAGTTTCCACAGAAATGGCCTTCGGTATCATTCTGGCACCGCAGACAGACTAACACATCAATGTGTCAGTTTTTGGTCAGGGCGCAGATCACTGGTGAGCAACAAAAACCCACCGAGAATCAATTATTCATTACTTAAGCCTATTACCGTTTTAGTTCTTGTGTACCACTATTCGTAACTTCAGTACGTGGTCGATTAGTTGACCCCAATCTCAATGTGCCCCCCCCCCCCGTACAAGGGAATCTGAGGCTTTGTGAGTGTAACGAATCAAACTAGGAGTTAAGCGAATGCTTCTCTTTGACGGCTAACTATTTGAGTTTGGCACATTAAGTAGAGGTGCAGAAATTTAGGAAAAGATGTGAGCTCAGTCATCATCATCATCATTACCATTGTCAGCTGTAAGAACCGTGTACTTGTCGTCCTGTCGTACAGTGGTTGTGGCTGCCACAGTTTCGTTCACCGGTGATTCGGAGAGGTGGGGTAGGTAGCTGCGCATTGGAGGTGGGAGCTGATAAATTAGTGCATAAATACAGCACTGTAGGTGGACTGTTAAGGGGGGAGGTTGGGAAGGGAGCTATGCGCTGAAGGCAATAGCTTGGATGCATGAGCGCCATTAAGGGTGCGACTGGGCCATGTCTGGCAATTCCTCGGTCACGTTTTCCACATAGTACTAGTATTCGCAATCAGTTTAATCTTCCAGTTATTCCCAGCATGCCTGATAGTTCAGTTTTTATGACTATGCTGAGACCTAAACAGTCAGAGAATGAGCGAATTTGGCGGAATTCTGAGCAAAAAGCTTGTCAAGATGTTGCTTGCTCTTTAGTTGTCTTACTCTTTAGGGGCCATCTGAGATCCACTCAGATGGACCTAACCGTGGAGACGAATTTTCGAGAGATCAGCTTTAACCGGCTTTATAAAAAGCGGTCATTTCTGATTATGATCTGCCCAAAAAGGATACGATCGCATCATCAGGATATGGTGAATTTTGAAATCCTAGGGTACCATATCACTCAACAAAGTTTCTACATTGGCAGGCCATGATGGTATCCTCTGAAAGTTAGTGTATACTTTCTAATGGATTCAATGCACTTTGAGATGTACGGTTCAGCGATCTTTGTGCTTCTTTGTATGTATGTATGTATGTCCAATTTGGAGCTGTTTTTTTAATATTAGGTTGAGCCCTGCTCTTTGTCACTTTTGGCCCACTTCTTGGTCATTTGTGATGGCTCACACGCACTATGTCGGTAACACTTGTACAACCAAGCACTATCTACTTAGCCGTACAAAGGATATGGAGACCCCGTTTAGCTGAACCGCTGTCTTGGTCACCGAATCCGCTCTTCGGATCATCCACAAAACGAAGAAGTCTAACTCAGTCTAACTCATTTGCAAATCAATTTGGTTTTCACGAGAGACTCAACTGAATCTCTCGTTTGTGATAGTCTACAACTGAATGTGCTGCACACAGGCCACCTCATGTTTCAGTTGGCACGATATTCGAGATATCGCAGTATATTTTCATAAAGGAAGCTACTCACAAGGTTGCTGAAAACTCTTCCACAACCCACGACCGGTTTCGCTCTTCTTGGGGCTCATTAGGTAGGCGCAGTCCCTCAGTTTCCGTCAACCTTATGTTCTACTTGAATCTCGGGGACTGCGCCTCCCTGATGAGCCCCAAGAAGGGCGAAACGGGTTGTGGGCTGTCGAAGAGTTTTCAGCAGCATTGTGAGTAGTTTCCTTTACGAAAGGTCTGACTCAGGTCTTGAGCTTTTTGATGGCCTTCCGTTCATTCAACTCGCTTGTCCAACCTGCTTCGTCCCGCATAATGCTCACGGGATTCCTACGTCTCACACGATACGGCATGAAAACCGGTGACATACTCAGCAGCTGAAACGCCCGTTAGGTATGTGGGCATGATGGAACTGGTTTCACAGACAAACTCATTTCGCTAAGCTATCAAGAAGTCAAAATTTTGAAAACCAATATTTTTAATGTCTCGTCATCAGGTCATCACATAGCTAGCGGTTAAACTAACGGTGATGGCTGGAATGGAAGGTTCTTCTCGATTAGGTGTTTGAAATAAATGGGAAACGTAGGAACGACTTGATGGATAAAATAGGAAAATGTATAAATTTCACCATTCTGGTAGCAAACAGATTTGTCCACACTTACACTTTTCCCTATCTGGAATTAATGATAGTGGCGACCCGTAATGCGTATATTCTCTGACGAGAAAGCGTCACGTTTAAAGCCCATTTGAAATGATCACCTTCAACTCGTCCTGCCGTTGTCCTCTTTAGGCGGGTTTTCCCCCTTCATTTTATGAAAACCATTAGAGCTTCTTGTACAGACTGCTCAATTGGGATCATTCACTCAATTAATTAAATCCAGGTTTTATTGCTTCCCGTTCACTTGAGCAACATTACTCTGAATGCGAGCTGCGAAATGTCTTTACCCCTTTATTAGGCGGTCAACGAAATCCTTTGCCTCTTTGACAACCAGTGGCTTTTTGAGCCGTATGATGCTAACTTGCGCATCGAATCTATACTGATCACCGCACTAAAATACCGCACCATGCGTTTTTCTAAAAGCGATTGGTCGATTTCGCTCTCACAAGCAGTAACTCGTGGTAGACTGTCATTGGTAGCCATAAGATAATTTTCTGTATCTATTTTATTCATTCTAGTATCATCTGGGAGGCTTTCCGTGGTCGCGTCCAACGCCCTGAAGACGTGTTTTCAGTCCGTCCAATCGACGCAGTCGAACCGAATTTCCGTCTGTTTCAAACAGCCTGGGAAAAATGTATCACCCGTTTTCATCCTCGTAAAAGGAAACCCAGGTAGTCTTATGAATCGACCTTGTTAACGCTTTTATCTCCCATGTGAACACTCGTGTGGCTTGTGAATAACAAAGCCCGATGAAAATAGGTGTATGCACCGGCTCTGATTTAAAATACTACTCATCCCTGTTGGTGTGGCGTCTTCGTACTAAGGTATTCTGACTGTCCGTTTTGGAACTTCGCATATTTCATGATATTCAACAGATACAACCCAATCGGCTGGACAATCCCACGACTTTTTTCGATTCTCGAAGGTCACCAGGACTTTGAATCGAGCGATTGATAAGTGGACATGTGTAAGTTGTAATGGGTGTGGAACACAACCCACGCTCCTTATGCTATGATTAGCATTGGAAGACGAGAAACTCAAAACGATTCTCTACCCGACCACCATGTAACCTGTAACTGCGTGAGCATTAGTCACAGCGCTCCTACCTTGTTTACAGTGGCTCTGTTCGACCTCGACGCACTCAGGATTGTTTCAGGCGCACCGCAATTTATGTGCCTGCATGTAATTCAGTAGCCGAATGCTAAAGTCGGTCTCGACGACCCAATAACGGTCACCTGACCATCTCGCGGACGTGTCAACTTATCCTACGTATTCCTAGGAGAAAAATGGGGTTCCAGAACGAACAGTTACGTGACTTTGAGTTCAAGACTGTCCCACGGAAAGGTCCTTCTTCCAACGAACCGTGTGTGCAGGCTTCCACTCCTATAATTTTCCATTTGAATCTCTACACAGGCTTGTAAAAGCGAAGCGGGAATTGCTTTTTCACAAGGAACGTTGATTGTAGCTTTCGAAACTTATGGATCACAAATTATCCCGTATCGTTTTTACGACGGTAACGTTGTATAAGACGTAAATGTTTGGATCTCGGTGCCAGATCGTTTTTTGTTTTAGTCCAGCTTACTATTCAGTCACCTGTGTTGAGGTGGGGCCCAGGGCGTCACGTTCGTCTGTGTGGTGACAGTTTGCAACGGCTCTCCATACCTTTCGCGGTCAATTTGTACAGATGCCTTACTTTACAGCTTTGCCGTGGCTGTGCTACTTCGTGTAACCATCGCCTCTTGCCTTCTCAGATCCGTATCATCTGACGATCGCTTAGTCTTACTAAGCGAAACCGATGAAAATCCTGACAACTTGAATGCGCAACAGGAAGTTCTTGATGGCTCGGTGCCTACCGTCGCTTTTCGCCCATCAGCAGCTGACAGGAAAAAGTTCGCCAAGACCGGTTCTCAGGACCCATCTCCAAAACCAGAGACGGGACATAAAGTGGAAAAGCGTGAACATGCAGTTGCGCTGCTCTCCGCTTTAGGATCTGCCTTTGGAGGTCGTTTGCTAGTTGCTGGCTCTTCCNNGCTGATAAGCACCTTCTTGAACTATGCTTCACCGATATTTCTGGGGTGAGTTTTTCCTTCGTTCAGTGTTCCGCCGGATATCAGTGTGGATTTGGTTTAAACACCGCCTCCTTCTGTCCGCGAGATGGCCCAGGTGGTTAGAGCGTGAATTTACCGACCGGAAGGTCCGTAGTTCGAACCCGACCTCTGCCTCTCGACTTCCCCTGTCTAGGCCTGGGCGACCTGGCGGTATCCCAGCCCTCGTGCCTCCTTCATGTGACATGGCAGCTAGGCACTGAAAGGGTGCTCTCGCCTCATTCTTCTGTAGCCTTAGTTCGAAAATCGGTTTTCGTTGAAAGCGATTCGTGACTCGGTGATTTTTTACCCTCAATTCTCAAAAACTGATAAATAGTACACAATTACTGCGCGATAACCAAGTATAACACGCTTGCTGGTGTCCCGAATCGAGGAGCTAGAAGAACAAGCTCTAACTTTAAAAGTATATTTATTTTCCACTGTAACACCTTTGGCACCCACCTGCGATTGTACTCGAAGGAAGCACGAGGGCTTAGATACTGCTAGGTTGTCCAAGCCTAGACAGCATCAGTTGAGATGCCATGCTTGGGTTCGAATCCAGAACCTTCCGGTCAAAAGCTCACGCCTGTGTAATGCTAGGATAAGCTCAACACCTGCTGATCGAATTTAAATTTGTTCGGCAAGTTTCCAGAAATTTTGTGCAACTCAGAAAATGTATGCCGTGGATGTGAAAACCAGGTCGCCGTTTTCCTACGGATCATGGGATTCATAGCCTTTCTTCAGAGTAAAAACACTCCTATAGAACAAAATTTCAAGAGAGGGGAAAAATCGATACTCTGGGGCTATAAAAAGTATCAAAAGCCGGCTTAGTTGTCTGCTGGTTACTCCCCCCGTGAGATGGTCTCTCCTTGGGGTGCCTTCTAAGGGATTACTGTAGTCGAGTCACTTTATTTCGTTCCTTGATTTTATCATTCCTTTGTTGCTCAGAATGGCTGCAGAATGTATGGATGCCCCAAATAATGGGCCTATTAGATGAACTTATGTCTTTTGGTGCCACTCAGCTGTCCCCTAATGTCCTACCATCATACTCAACCGCTTGTTTAAACTTCAGGTTTCTACTTCGTTTTCTTGCCTCCACTGACCGACCTGACTGGGAGGGTTATTTGATTGCAGTCGCCACAATCCTATTGTCCTTAGCTGCACTTGTCTGCGATCAACGTGGATTCTACCGAAGCTTGACCCTTGGCATATCACTACGGTCTGTGCTCACATCTGCAATCTATCGGAAGGTATGTTCACCTCAGTGCACTACGTAGTTAACGAGATCGAAACCCGCCGTTGAAGAATTTTCGAATCACAGTATTCTCACGGACTGAGTTCCTAATGTTTTACACAGTTGACTCTTGCGTTCAAGCCTCACCAACCACCGGTCGTGGTGATGTTATCATTTCTCTCCTTGAGCATGGTTTCGTATTCAAGAAACCCACAGAACCATCTCAGCACATCGCCCATACAGCTCTGAAGTCCGGGCAACTTTGTATTCGTTGTTCAACTGACAGTACGTGTAGTCGGTTCGTTTCACTGTCGGCTTACTGATTTCCCATAAGTGCGGACAACATTTCAACATTCTGCGTGTTCTATCCAACTGTCCATAGGAACATGCTATCCTTACGCTGTGAATCGCACAATTTCTGCTACTGTGATCATGTGTACGTCACTATCAGTCTCATGTCCGTCACGTTCGGTTACTTTTTGTGATATGCGGGAAAACTTCTATCTATTTCCCGTCCACCCATGTTTATTTTGGTTTCGTTTGTCTCGGTACACCTTCCAGTCCTTGAGGCTTTCTTCGGAGTCCCGAGCGAAGTACACTACCGGCGAGTTGCTCAACTTGCTGAGCGTTGATGTCAATCGAATCATGGAGTCTTTCAGTGAGTTTCGACTGTTGGACCGGTTTGGGGTTCCCCACGTGTATGTCTGACGATCCAGAATATCAAAGAGAAGAATTGGGTTCGAAGGCTGTGGTATTTTTTTACACAAAAATAAGCGAACAAACCTCAGTTGTTCACGTATATATTTGTAATGCACTATTCATAAAGTTGCTGAAAGTCTGTCGGCAGCCCATGACCGGTTTCGCCCATTTTGGTGCTCATTGGGTGGGCGCAGTCCTCGGGTTTCCGTCAACCTTATGTTCTACTTGAAACCAAATTGCAGGAAATTAGCCAATATACACTCATTTTCAAAAAGGGTGCGAA